TCTCACTCCTCACTCCAGCTGCAGTTTGTGTCCTGCTGTTTGGGTTTTTTTTTTCCCCCTTCTTAAATACCTTATCCCAGAGACGGTACCACCGTCACTGATTGGCTTGGCCTTGGCCAGCAGCGGATCCACCTTGGAGCTGGCTGGCATTGGCTCTATCGGACATAGGGGAAGCTTCTAGCAGCTTCTCACAGAAGCCACTCCCGCAGTCCGCCCACTACCAAAACCTTGCCACGCAAACCCAGTACAGTTCTGATGAAGTGTTTCAGGCAGTACAAATGAACAGAAATCACTCACAAATGGGCTAGTCCCAACATATAGAAAGGTGTATTTCCCTTCAGTGAGACCTCTGTCATATGTCAAATATTTAGAGTAGCCCACATGGTTCAGAGCTGGCTGCAGCAGGCAATCTGAACAAGAGAGACTGTAGAATACTTTGTGAAATGTACCTTATGAAATATACCTAGGCAACAACAGTGACTTTTCTGTGGGTGTTAAATCATTGTAATCACTTCTATTTGAGTGTTACAGTTCTTACACATAAATCAACATTTATTATGTAATATTTTTATTAATTAAAATTAATATTTGTTCTATATGTTATGTCACATCCCTAACATTTTTATGGTAAATAGCAAATAAGTTACTATTAATTACATTTATAAAGCTATTTGAGCACCCAGGTGTTTTAGTAGCAGTAATATAAAGCTCATTATTTGACTTATGCAAGTTGGGAATAAAGCTTACATTGTGAGTGCAAAGGGTAGCAAGTATGGGAGTGTAACAGGGATGGAGCTATTTTGACAGTGGTCCAAACTCTAACATTTTTTTTACCCATGGGATGGATATCTCTTGTCTGTGTAACCCAAGAGTTGCTCAGAGCTCCTGGCCCACGCTTTCAAACATCCCCATAGCTGCCGCACAACTCTTTGGCTTGAATGAGCCCAGAGAGTTTCACCATCTATTGCCCTCCAAATGTCTTCAAAGCTTCTGCAGGACCTCATTCTCATCAAAAAGCATTTCCTCCTCCAGTGTAGTTCACCTTCCTCACTGGTTTAAAAGTCAGCCATATAAATACACTTTAATATAGCACTGATTTCATGAGCTCACAATCTGACTCTATGTTTAATGCTGCTGGCTCTTAGAAATTTTATTTAGTCTGTATCACATGCTTTCTCTTGACCTATGTGTGTATGTTCTTGTGTATGTTCTCTGGACCTCTGTGTGTATGTCACTGTAGTATATATTTCACAACAGTACCTAACCTCACTGAATCTGATTCCTGTTATATTGTATTTCAGATGCAGACAATGTTTTCAAATGCTAACCTTTGACATTGGATTCGGCACCTCCATATACCCAGTAGTTCTTGAGGTGAGAAAATTACACAAATTATTGCTTGACCCAAAAAAATTAAACCAAAAAAGAACACAGCAGGGAACCCTCTCTGACAGTTGCCCTCAAACCTCTGAGAAATGTCCAAGTCCATTAATATGAATTTTGCCCAACAGTGGGGAGTTGCTGTGGGAGAAAGCAGTTCCTAAGGGACAGAATTCTTGTGATGAAGTTCACCACATCATTGAAGAGTGCAGACTTTTCATTTTTTAGCATTACAGGATTATCACCCCAACTGAATATCACTAAACAAAATCCATAGTAAGCATTGCATGCAAGTAGAGTTAGGTATTAACTGTGCCAGAACAAAGAGGAAGAGAGGAAGTTAAAATATCACAACTGGCTTTTAATACAAGTTAAAGCTCTCTATGAATTGCATCGTACTTCTTCAATTCATCATCTGCTTTGACCTCCACTGTGCTGCCTTCTTCCTGGATGGTCCTCAAGGCCCTCAAAACCAGAGAAATGTGACCCGTGGCATAAAATCCCTGTGCCAGTTTTGCACCACTTCTGCCTCAGAAAAACCTGGCCAGAAACAAAAATTGTACTGCTTTCCAGCTGCTTCTCATTACCCCTGTGTATACATATGAATATGTATATACCTAGGTATATAAAATTTTTGTCCATACTTATGATACACAAAAGGCAAAAAAAAAAATTAGTAAATATATCCTGGGAAATTACAGGACAACACTTCTAAAATTCATCCTCAGTTAAAATCTGTTCAAGTTTCCAGTAGCAACAGTGCAATCTCTCCATCCTTCACAAAACAAAGATCCTTTAAACACAAAGGAAAAATGGACATATGAAAGAAAGTTTGCACAATTTAAAAAATCCATGAAGACAATATCCTTAATTAGTCTGACAAGACTTGTTTAGCTAGTATAAGAAATGTGACACATCATAGCAATTTAATAATTGTATGCGAGGCTGTAAAAAAATTGTCCCAGGTGTTGGTTAAAAAACTAAACATAAAGCATAATGTCTACCTGCCTGTATAGTAGTCTTAACCATCAGCCAGAATCCATAAATGCACAGTAAATCACTAGGGTTTAATAGTTTCTTATGAAAATAAAAGTTACTCTAAAAAATAACGGTTGATAATTACTATGACATTTGACTTTGAATAGTATCCCTTGGAAACTGTAGTATGCACACACCCCATGCAGCCTGAAGTTATATTTGTGTTTATGCTAAAATATTAATTTATTCATATTTTATAAATGTAAGTTTATATATTGTAAAATTCATACCTTCATATGTAGTAACTCCTAAATACCTGAGAGAGTTGTGTTAACATATAAGCTGACATTTTATTTCTTTTATCAAATTTCAAATCAAACACACAAAAAAAGCTCACATGAGAATGCAATATTGTAGTCTATCCGCTGGAGGTCAGCAAACGTCGTGTGTGTAGTTCTGACAGAAAATGTGGTACAGTATTTGCTATATTATAATCCTGTCTGGTTTATTAGTGTTAATATGACTTTTTTTTATAAATAGTTCCAGTTTGGTATATGTGGTTATGAGAAGACTGGACTTGATATTCAAACTATAAAGTCTTACATTGTTTTCCAACAGGTGCACGAAAATTTTGACTTTCAAGATGAGGATGAATCAAATATTCAGGACCAAACTTTCAAAGAATTTCTTTTTGAAGATACTTTTAAATTCCTCTTATCTAATGAGTCCTCAACATCCAGTTTCACAGAAGCATTACAAAAAATATATGGATCAGCTGTGAGCAAGGTAGTTCATTCCACCTTTTTCTTATTATTAACTATTTGAAAATATTTCATTCTAAATTGTATGCCTTTCTGAAATTGTTGGGGCCAACTTATAGAATGAAGGATTTATTTAATCAAAACTATCTGTTACTGAATTCTGGGGAAGCCATGGATAAAACTGTAATTATATTGAACAATCAAATTTTCTTTAATAAAAATACCGCTCTCAAATTATATCATTCCCAAAGTACAGTACTTTAAAGATATATTTAAAACTTTAACAAAGTAATTTCCCCAACATTTTTTTAAATGGTCCTTTTTAATATACAAGTTTGTGTGTTTTCATAAACCTAGAACTGATTAACTCAAACAAGTAGATTCATGAGCATCAGAATTAAATTTTGTTTCCTACAACTTTGTGTCTTATTATGAGTGCAAGATCCAATTACAATTTTTTGCATTTATAGGGTCTGTATGAAGTTTACATCACTTGTGAAATCTATTTCTGACAAGCTGGGAACTCTTTTAGCAGTATTTCTCTCAGCCTGGGCACTGGTAAAGGGGCATTTCTGAGCAGCCCCCTGCTTGCAAGACTCGCAAGGACTACATTATCCTTGCAACTTCTGCATCTCAGGCAGGTGTGACTGAAACAGGGTCATGGGTTCTAAATTTATGACAGGAATAAGTAGGAAACTGCAGACATATGCACATGTATGTGCACTAAGTCTGTTTTCCGTAGGAGGCCAGACCACATTTCAGACTGTCCACTTCATTGTCTATACTTCATGCAGTGTCTTCCCATGGTAATTTCTATGGGTTCTTTTCTACACAAAGCTAATGCACAGTCTACTGTATTCTAGACTGAGAAATGGGAAGAGTTATCAAGGAGCTGGCTTGACATGACTTTGGATGAGGTTAGGGCAAGTTGAGAGCTGCTATAATTTGTCCCTTTGATCACAAAAGGGATTGAGGTCTAATGAAAGCACACTGCTTTCCATGTGATTTCACCATAATATGCTGCCCTTTCCTTTGTAGGATGGAAATTACCACAAAGAAGATAAGCCATGTTTGTCTTTAGAAGAGATAAATTCAATGATTACCTTCATAAAGGAGCTGAAGAGTCTTGGACAATTTGAGCTGGTACAATAAAGAATTTTGTTGTTATTGGATACATATTTTATGTAAATCTCTTAATATTTCTCCATTATCATTCTTTGCTATCTCTGGAACATGCATTAGGCTGGATGGACAGGGAAGCGGGGAGATAAAGGTTATCCTGATTTTATTTTGGAGGATTTTTGCAATTTAAATTAAAACAGATAAAGAAATAAAACAGAGAGTTTGAGTTGAGGATTCATTGAAAAGGACACCTAAAGCAGAAGCAGAGACCAGAAAATAGAATGAAAGGGAAAGGAGGAAAATTATGTAAGTGACTAATGAGCTGGTAAGAAAACAGAGTTATAATGAAGCAAAGCAGGTGTGAATGGAAGAACTGGAGATAGCACAACACTGAGATCATGACCACAGAACACGTATAGATGAAAAAGTGGCAAAAACCCCAGGTGGAATATGTAATATGTCGTCTTCTTCACACTTCAAGTGAGTTAATTTTTGGAGAAGAATAGAGATGGGGAATAACAGTCAGTGTCTGTGAATAGGCATGACAGCTAATGAGGGAAATGGAGAGTATTGGGGAAGTAAAAGATCTGCAACTGGATCTGTTATTCAGAAAGTCTGCATGATATCAGGATTTCTTCTAGACCTCCTGGATGAGTCTCAGGGTTGGAGACTGATGAGGCTTTCTGAAGAGGGACTGAGTTGAATAGATCTGGAATTCGAATCAGAGGCAAAGGAGTTAGACTTCCTTGTCAGTACTAGTAATCCTGATTTGCCAGGCTGGGCAAGACAGTCATTTTCTACACATGTGCGAAAGAGCATTAATATAAATCCATCCATTTGCTATAGACACTGTCTTCTGATTCTTTCTCACTTCTTTGCATTTTACAAATATTATAACATGTAGTCTCTAATCAGTGTCTCTCTTCTCAGCTTTTCCCTTCTGCTGCACCCAAGATTCAAACTTTGCTGCGTGACCTTTATCACATGGTAGACCCAATGAGGCGGCTTGGTTCAGTCCTGACTGTGCATTGGTTGCTTTCCAGTTTACTTGAACAATTCCAGTTCATGACTAAAGAGGCCCACACAAATCTTTCAGAATGGTAAGAGAGCTATTATGTGATATGTTCAGGAGTAGTTTCTCAAATGATATTAATGGCAGGAGCTCCACTGAGCACCATAAAACTTAATCCTTCAGTAGATGTAGGTGGATTTACAGCAATGAAGATCCACCATCCCATCGTGGTGCACTGTCAGCCATTCTGCCGTTAGAGTTGCAGCTACGTTTCTACATAAGACAGTTTTGCTCATTTCTGACACAGGTCATTCTGGGTTAAAATCTTAATTGAAGCTACAGTAAAATTTTTTTTCTAAGAAACACAAAGTGAATTAGGTAAATTGTTTCTGAACAACTGTAAACACAAAATAAGGAGTGCTTACCAGGGTTAAGACCATCTTTTAATTTATTCACTATTTAGAAGTAAAACTGTAAAGAAAATATAAGATTTCAGGTGAAGATTTTTCCGAAAGGGACTAATAATTTTGAGTGGCTCTAAATTTTCTGTCCAACAAGAGGCAGGTCAAAGAGCACCATACTCTGAGATCCTCATTTTAACTGTTTTTGAAAAGCTGGAAAAATATTTTAATTACAAGGTTGGATCCATTGACCTTCTGGCAAGAGATTTTAACTTTCATAAGGAGGGAGGGAGGGACGGAGGGAGAAAAAAAGGAAGAGAGGAAGGAAGAAAGGGAGGAAAGAAAAGAGAGAGTAAGGAGGGAAGGAGAAAAGTTGTGGTATACTATATGTTTAGTATCAAATTTGTAAAAGTGTTTTCTGTGCTTCCTGTCCTGGCTAATGACGTTTCATACACATATATGCCATACTTCTTTACTGACTACAGGCATATACTATTTTGCAAACAAGGGCTTGGGAACAGAAGCACATTAGAAAATGTGTGTGCTCCATTCCACTGAGTCTCAAGTAAAATGTACAAATGGCATTATTTTGTACATTTTGCTTGGACAATGCTATAGTGACTATATAAGGCATCTGTAAGACTTAAATTTTAATTTTGTTCCTCATTGAATTGGGTGTGGCTTTCAGCAAGTCAATAGTCATCTGTATCTTTGTTTGCTTAGCTATAAAGTGGAGCTTATACTTTACCACTGTGCTAGGAAACTGTTTATTAGTGTTTTGAAAAATCACAGTTCCATGAATGTGCTAAGTATTATTGTTGTTACTGCAGGCCACTCCATGAAAAGTAACTCAAAGATGCAGCTGCTTGCATTCATGTGTAAGGCCTTGCCCTTTTGCCAAAATATTTAGGTTTGCATATCAAAGCATACCAACCTTTAGCAGCTTTCTGTTCTAATCTAAGCTGTGCCACTCACTCACTTTGAGCAAGACCCTTGGCCTCTTCTTTTTCTTCAAGCTGAACATCATTGTATGTGTATAAATATGTAGAAGTACCATGACCTTTCTGCAGGGCATAGGCCAATCTGCTGCTTTGCACTGTATTTTTCTGCAATGGCTAAGCTAATAACACCATTCTGTTCATTCACTGTGTAAAAAACCATGCGTTTTGACATAGCTAAATCATAATCTTCCACTGCTATAGCTACACGCATGTGATGGTGATGCATGTGTCAGATATGCATGTAATTACAGTTAATTGCAAGGAAGAAAGAGCTTAGTAGAGCTTACTCCCCAAATAACTCAGGTATGCATTTTCTTTGAGCTTTGATTAATATTTTTTGAGATTTCCAGCTTTGATGAGTTTGTATATCAGAACACTTTTCCTGAATATCTTCAGTTAAGGCCAGGTTGTTTGGTTGATTTATTTAACAGTTCTTATTTCTCTGACTATGCAAAATTGGTATTTCCATTTACAAAATCCAGTGATTTGTATAGCTGACTGTCCAACCAGACAAGCATGGATAGGTCTTGTACAGTTATGCTGTTCACTGATCATGAATCCATCCATAGAATGGAGACAGGGTTTAAAGAAGTTTCCTGGTGTACTTTTCTTAACCCATTTCATCTACATGGCTAGTATTGAAACCTTAAAAGATATTAGTGAACTCTCTGAATTCCTTCCACAGGAGAAGCAAGAAGAACTCTAGAAACTCATCTCAAACTATAATGAAATGGTTACAGCCTAGGTGAGAATGATGATCTCAGATGTATTGGTATGGCATAAGACAAAGCTCTTTGAACATGATGGGGTGCTACTACCTAACATGTGCACTGAAATCAATTTTCTGCATTGTCTGTGCACTGTTTTTCAACTCCATATAGTTTCAACTTGTGATATGACTAAGACATACATCATTACTGTCTTTTAGAATAGGGGCTATGAAGTACTATGGCAAGTATGTTTCGCTGTGTCAGACAGCAGAGTAGCATGGAAGAATCAGATTAGTAAGAAAAAAGGTAACCTTTTTGTATTTGCATAAGACAAAATCCTAAGCAGGTCAATAAAGTTGCAAATGCTTTTATGAAATCAACTGATGTATTTGGAAAAATGTTACTAGCTTCCCATATGCAAGCCCTTTGTTAGGTCAAAATAGAAGCAGCAGCCCTCAAACTTAATTTGGGTTGAAAAGAATTTCGTGGAGTTTAACTTGGTCATGCTCATCACCTGGGCAGTTTGAGAAACAAACACGGTTTGGACTATGAAGCAGAAGAAGACAACAGCAAGGAAGTCTGGGATGAGATCACTGATCTGCAGTGGGAAGAATGAGAGACAGAGGAAAGGAGGGAAGGAGAGATACAGTTGGGATTAAGTGCCAGGAAGCCAATCCCACTCCTGAGTGTGCAATTTTGTATTTCTCTTTTGAAGATCAGCACATGATACTTCATTCAGTGAACCAAATGCCCTCAAGGAAACTCTGTGACTGAAGCCAAGCAAACACTTTACAAAACAGAGAGTTCACGCTGCCAGTTAATCAGCCAGAAAAAAATTGCTAGTGATCATGTTTCACAAAATTACCTCTGGTGGCTCCTCATTTTCAAGAGAGACCTACAAAACATCATCTAAAGAAATAAAATTCATAACTCTGCTGAATACTGAAATATGGTCTCAACTTTGACTTTATGACCCATTACAAATTGCACCATCCACAACTAACACATCCATCAGAGGCCCCAGAAGTGACCAGATTTTTTCCTTTTTTTGTTTTAATCTTATGAAAGATGTCATGGTTTAGCCCCAGCCAGCAACTAAGCACCATGCAGCCACTCACTCACTCCCCCTAACCCGATGGGATGGGGGAGAGTATCGGAAGGGTCA